CCCTTGAGTGTGGCTCTTCCACAAAATACCACGTGCGGGCGCGAATGTACAGTGCGATTGAAACTTCGTGGCCCATGCCCAGAAGTCGGTATTTTGTGGAAGAGCCACACTCAAGGGGCCAAAGAGCCGCATGCGGCTCGCGAGCCGTAGTTTGCCGACCACTGGGTAGCACAACCAGAGCAGGACGACATGTAAGGGCCAACAATTGGATCCAGATTTCCATTCCCCCCGCAGAAACAGTTTTGGAGCCAAGAACTGTAAGGTGACGTGCTATCCGGGTCTCTCTCCCTCAGCCGGGACTGACATCTATTTTTTCACTCTACTCAGCTAGCTGTGCCACAGGAAAGCTGGGAAATGGAGCCCCACCAAGATGTTGGCAATTGGTATTTCTTCCTGGGGCGTGCATTTCAACAAAACTGCAGGAGAAGCGCAATCAGAGGCACCTCCCAGCCCCAATGGGACCCTGTGTTAGGCAGGAGGACAAGGCCACACCACGACAGTGACCACTCCTCATGTATGTCCAGTTTGCCTGACGTGGAGGCCCAGGGAGGGGGGCTTCCCAGGGAGGGGGTCCGCCCAGGTCTCTCCTACCCCATGTCCACCAAGCCCTCTTCACCGCCTTTCCAGGTTGGGTGGGTGACTCTCCAAAATCAGTTAGGAGAGAGAGTGGCTTTTTAATTTTTCTCCCTTCCTTTGATGGATCTCGCCAGGGTGGACCGCCCTCTGGAGAGCACTTGGAAATGATGTGATGGTGCTTGTGGTTGTCCTGGTGATGGCGCAGAGCACGGTGGGCATTCAGTGGAGAGATGTGCAGGGCTGTTCTGCTCAACCAAGAGCATTCCACCCGAAAGTGCTGGGCTGTGAAGCTCGGCAGCCGACCTGCTTAATGCAGCCCACCCCCCACCCAGCTTCCAAATGATGCCACACACAGAACACCCCATTGAAGCATACCCACGGGCTGCCCACAGGAAGGAGGGCCTGTTCTCTGCCTCTCCGTCTCTCCCTCTTCCTTCCTCTCCTCCTTGTTGATGTCCTTGCTCCTGATGTCCTTCAACTCCCTGCTATCTGAGTCCCTACCTCCCGCCCCCTCACTCCAGGTCACAGCGTGGTTTCTCTGGCCCTCCCCACTCTCCCCTTTACTCACCCAACTATTAAAACCACTGAGTCGCTCTCCTTGCACAAACGACAGCATATTGTGTGGTAGATTTCTGGAAAATAAGAGGCTTTCTTAATTCACTAGGAAAGCTAGTGGGCTTCCTTTACCCATCATCGGCAGCCCCTGCTCACTGACAACCACCACGTGAATGTTCATTGACAATATCTGAGAATCTGTTAGGCCATCAGTACAGTGGTTCTGTGTGTGAACTCTGGATTCAGACCCAAGTTTCAATCTCTACATTGCCTCCTTTTCATATCTATATTAATAAAAGGGTAATATGCTAATTTGACTGGGCCAACCAGACATCTTCTGGTCATCCGGTCCTCCTTCCGGACAAAGCCATGGTGGCGGGGCTGAGGCAAAGGCGGTTAGGGGCAATCAGGCAGGCAGGGGAGGGCAGTTAGGGGCGATCAGGCTGGCAGGCAGAGGTGGTTAAGGGCGATCAAGCAGGCAGGCAGGTGAGCGGTTAGGAGCCAGCGAGAGGGATGTCCAAGGGGTCCTAGATTGGAGAGGGTGCAGGCCGGGCTGAGAGGATCCCCCCCCCATGCATGAATTTTATGCACCGGGCCTCTAGTCCTATATAATAAAAGCAAAACATGCAAATTAACCATCACTCCATCACTCCACCACTCTGTTACACCCACCAGACAATCAGAGCGACTATGCAAATTAACCCAACAAAGATGGTGGTTAATTTGCATATTCAGGTGCCGGGGACCAATTCCAGCATGTCATAATTTCAAGAGTTTCATCAAAAGGTTGATGAGACTTGGGGACTCAACAGGGTTGAGTCACACATGTAGTCACCTGTTGGGAATGGCTAAAGGCATTTCCCCAAACCTGAATAGGAAACTGATTGTGGCTGCCAGACAGTTAAAGGGCATCTTAATCTACATGTTATTGCCTCCTACTGGCCAAACACTTGAATAGCCGTAGGCTAATTCCCCCAAACTGACAATGCTTCTGTACCTTTTGAAAACTTACCCTTTGAAGTGTATTATCTCTACCTTGCCTTAGGACAAATTGTGTTAATAAAAGCAAGGGTCCTAGACAAGGAGGGAGTCTTCAGTTCCTTTAGCTGAAGGTCCTCTGACCCCCAATGCCTTTCAAAATTATATCTCGTCTCTGAACTCTTGATTAGTCTCTGGATTTCTATGCCATCTACGCACAGCCCCTTTTCCAGATTCCTGAACCCTTCTTGATGCTAGGACAAGAACCCTGGCATGCAGGCGCGGGGCGAAGACTGAAGACAACTGAAGATGGTGGCGGTCAAAGAGCTGGAGCGAGCAGGAGGCTTGGGTTGCTCCCGGTGACGGAGGAAGCCAAGCTTCCCGCTGGCCCTGGACTCCGCTCAAGGAGGGCCTGGGAGCCTGGGCTCCACTCAAGGAGTGACTGGGGGCCTGGGTCGCCAAGGGCAACCCAGGCATCCAGCCAGCCCTGACCTCTGCTCGAGGAACTGGAAAAAAAAAAAGGAGGGGCTGGGAGCAGCCGGAGCAGAGAAGCCAAGCCTTGCTGCTGCAGTCAGACCAAAGGCCTGGGTCCCAGGTGCCAGAGGAAAACCGGTGCCAGCAGCCAGGGGAAGGAAGGCCTATTGCGCGAATCTTCGTGCAACGGGCCACTAGTGTATATATAATATCCTATATCCGTGGTCGGCAAACCACGGCTCATGAGCCACATGCGGCTCTTTGGCCCCTTGAGTGTGGCTCTTCCACAAAATACCACGTGCGGGCGCACCACATACAGTGCAATTGAAACTTCATGGCCCATGTGCAGAAGTCGGTATTTTGTGGGAAGAGCCACACTCAAGGGGGCAAAGAGCCACATGTGGCTCATGAGCCACGGTTTATCAAGCCGCAGTTTGCCAACCACTGTCCTATATAATACCAATATGCAAATTGTCCCCTGGACTGGGAGTTCAACCGGGAGTTTGACCAGGGCACAGGGCTGGCCGGCCAACTGCCCTCATCCCCTCCCCCTGGCCAGCCCCACCCCCAATCGCCCCCCCAACCCCGATCAGGGTGGGCCTGCCAAAACCCACCTGTGCACGAATTTCATGCAGGGTAGGGTCCCTAGACCTGGCCTCCCTGCTTCCTGGCCGCCTCCTTCCCTCACTCCCTCAGCACTCTGCTGCCCCCGCTGGTCACTCGCCATGTTCTGCACCACCCCCTGGTGGTCAGCACATATCATAGCGAGCGATCCAACTCCTGCTCTCCTGGTGAAACTCCCAAGTGGATAATTTGCATATTAGCCTTTTATATAGAGAGATATATTTTTTTAATTGATTTCAGAGAGGAAGGGAGAGGGAGAGAGAGAGAAACATCAATGATGACAGAGAATCATTGATCTGCTGCCTCCTACATGCCCACAACCCAGGCATGTGCCCTTGACAGAATCAAACCCGGGACCCTTCAGTCTGCAGGCCGATGCTCTATCCACTGAGACAAACCAGCGAGGGCTCTGTTGCCTCCTTTTCACTTGAGTTGAAGCAGTGTGAGGCATGTCCCTTCTCTCTCTGAGGCTTGAGTTTTTCTCATCTGTAAAATGGGAATAGTGATAATCATAGGGTGCGGGGGTTTTCAAGGAGATAATGCACACAAAGGGCTTCCACCGTGCCTGCCATGTAAATACTAATATTTGTAAATATTAATTAATAAATTCAATGTTGCCCTGGCCGGGTGGCTCAGTTGGTTGGAGTGTCATCCTGTGCACTGAAGGGTTGTGGGTTTGATCTCCGGTGGAGGTGAGTAGGGAGGAACGTGATCAATGTTTCTCACATCTCTCTCTCTCTCAGATCAATGAAAAATATCTTCAGGTGAGGATAAAAATTAATAAATACTTGCTGTTCCTGTCCTTCATTATGCAGACATACCCACACCATGGCTGCATCCAACCCCTATTCTCAAAGACTCCTGCAATAGATCCTGGCCTTCCACAGACTAGAAAGCACCATAAAAGGTGTTCCCCGCCCTCCCCCGCCCCGCCCCCCCCCCCAATTCCTACAGTTGGGGAAGGGAGAGATTAAGAGAATAAAATTGTCTCAATTGTGAATTTTTTCTCTCATTAATTTCCCTTGAATCTTTGGTCTTCACGTCTGTTTATCCCAGAATGTGTCTCAAGGAACTCCTGATGTGAAACAAAACGATGTGTTTTAGTCATTTTCATGTTTTAGAAATCCTTATTGCCAACTAAGTAGAAGCGGTGGCCACACAACATTGTGAATGTGCTAAATGCCACTGAATTGTGCACTTTCAAACGGTGGATTTTATGTTATGTGAATTTCATATGGATAGACGGCACCCCCCGCTTTCGAAACTCTGCTTTACGAAACACCTACATTAGCTAGTCCCTGTTTTGGCTACGAAGAGTCCCAGTGATTTCACTTTACAAAGAAACAAAGAAAAGAAAAAAAAAGCTGAAAAGTACAGCGTCTGTTTTGCAGAGAGCCCTTATGGAGGCAGCACCACCTCCCCCCCCCCCAACCCCTACCCCTACCTCCACCCCCACCTCCATCCCCACCCCCACTCCAGCAGGGAGAGTGGCCCCAGCCAAGCTCCTCCCACGGGAACACTCCTCATCTCAGCCTCCAGCCCAGAGCTCTGAACTGAGCATCTGGGCTTTATCTCAGCTTATTTTGTGCAACCACTAGCAAGCGGTGTCCTCAGAGAATTCCTTCTTTGCTTGACATCATTTCGGCTTAGGAAGGCTGTCCTCGGGACGCCCTACTTTCGCATAGTGGTGGTGGTGGGGGACCTGCACAGGCATCGATTGCTCTCTTCCTTCCAGAAAGAAATCAATACATTCTGTATCTTTGCCGCCTGAACGAACTGGGACCTGCTAGCTGCCCCGGTGTTCCCAGGTCATCACAGGGGCGTCCAGACCCCAGAAGATGACAGGAGTGCAGCCTCATGCCGGGAGGTGGGCGCCCCCCACGCTGCTCGGCCTGTCACACCGCAGGCCGGGTCTCAGGGGAGGACTCTTACTAAAGCTTCCCACGATCGCCCCACCGCCGTGGAACAGCAGGATGCCGGGCCGGAGGCTGCGGGAGGTCCTCCGGGGCTGGTACAGCTTCACGGGGATGGTCCCGAAGAGGAGGTCGGTGACCACCACATCCGGATCCTTGATGAACGGCGGCAGGTCGTGCACGAAATGGACAAACTGGGGCATCGAACAGATTCTCAGTTTCTCAAGAATCATCCCCTGTTGGCCAGAGAAGAGGAAATGTTGTGGGAAGAATTTCGGGGTGTCCCTGGGAGTCCTGCTGCCCCTCGACCAAACATGCCGTCTGCAGAGGGGTGGGCCCCCATCCCCTGAACAGAAGGTTCCAGGCACAGCCCAGCCCTGCAGACCAAGCTCTGTGGTTGAGCATCGACCTATGAACCTGAAGGTCACTGTTCAATTCCCGGTCAGGGCACATGCCAGGGTTGCAGGCTTGATCCCCAGTGTGGGGTGTGCAGGAGGCAGCCCATCAATGATTCTCTCATCATTGATGTTTCTCTCTCTCTCTCTCCCTTCCTCAGAGAAATCAATAAAAAAAAATTTTAAAAAATACAATATCCAAAGATGGCGGCATAAGGTACAAACCTGTACGTGCTGCCCCCCACAACAACATTAAAACCACAACTATAAGACACAACAGCTATCATCCAGAACCACGGGAAAGCTGATCGAGTGGAAGTTCTACAACTAGAAGGAAATAAAAAAGCACATTGAGACCAAGTAGGAGGGGAGCGGCGCCAAGAACAGAGGTACAGAGGCTGCGCAAGGCTGCTGCACCTGGGTGCGCGGTTTCTTTCAATCAGAAGGGGATACAAGCTCTCGAACGCACTGAATGAAAGGGCGAGGGCTACGCCCTCCATCTTGCCCCAGGGCGAGGGCTATGCCCTCCATCTTGCCCCGAATCCTCCATTTTGGGCAGCAGCCATGTGCTCAGCAAAGAGCTTCTTCCCGGAAGCCCAAACCTCTGCTAGCCACGCCTAGGATCTCTTTAAACTAACCAATGATAATCAAGGGAAGTGCGCGCCATAGATACAACCACATCCTGTGTAACAAGACACCGACTTGCGCCTGGCCAATCGGCAGGGCCCACAGTCCTCTCTCCTCCCCTTACTATAAAACCCCTTTCCCCACAGAGCTGTGTCTCTCTCTCTCTCTCTCTCTCTCTCTCTCTCTCTCTCTCTCATCTCGCCGCTGCGTCGGTAAGGAGGCTGGGGGAGCCAAGCCCGGGCTTGAATAAAGACTCTTATGCTTTTGCATCAGACACGGCTGGCTCCCTGGTGTGGTTTCTTGGGGATCCTGAAATCTGGGCATAACACTGAACTCATTTACAGCAAGATGCTGGGGTCCCAGGCTCCTATGGGGAGAAACGGGACTGTCCTGCAGCGGGTCACAGAGCTGCTCACGGGGATCTTTGTGGCGGTGGGGGCGCGCGGCACTCAGGGAATCGCGGAGACGTGACGACACCATTGTTTGCTCCGCCCTGGTGTCTTCCTGAGACCCTGCCCCACTCCATTCATATCCCCTCCCAAGCTGTGATCGACTGCACAGAGGCACCTGCGCTTCTGCAGCCAAACAAACTGCAGCTGGATCAGAGAGCTCCAAAACTTCCAAACTACAAACAAAGCAGAGAATTCTGTTGGTATCAGTTCTTCTTATAGACACAGCGGGTCCTCGCAGTCAGCCAAAAATGCGAAGACAAAGAAACATGTCACAAATGAAAGAAATGGAGGAAAGCAAACAAATGGAGGACATCGAGTTCAGAACCACAGTTATAAGATTACTCAAGAATCTTCTACAAACCTCCGAGAAACTTAGTGAGACCTCCGAGGAACTTAGTGAGACCTTCAAGGACCTTAATGAGAATGCCAAACAAATGGAAAAGCACCAGTCAGAAATTAAACATACACTGACTGAAATAAAGAATAATATACAGATAGGTCGGAGGAAACCAAGATGGCGGCATAGGTAAACACTGGAGTTTGCTGCCTCGAACAACCACTTCAAAAATACAACTAAAAGACGGAACGGACATCATCCAGAACCACAGGAAGGCTGGCTGAGTGGAAATTCTACAACTAGAAGGAAAGAGAAAAGCACACTGAGACTCAGAGGAGGCGCAGTGCAGAAGTAAAATACTAAGGTGCGGAGGAGCATGCGGAGCGGGCTGGCGGCTGAGGGCGCGGTTGTCGTTTTCAATCGGGAGGGAGTCTCAGGCTCTGAGCTCCAGTTCTGGGCGAGTCTCTAGGGACCCAGACTCATACGGGAGAAGCGGGACTGTCTGGCATCGGTCGGAACTCGAGGGCAGCTTTCTCTCTGAGGGGCTTGCAGTGATTACCAGGACATTGAGAAGCAGAGCCTCTGAAGGCAGGACTGAGAGCAGCCATAACTGCTAGCCCCGCCCTGTTGATCCCGTGGGACCCGCCCCGCCCAAGCCCTGCAGGGAGGTTTTTGCTGGATAGCCTCAGGCAAAGGCTAGATTAGCACCTCCCTAGAGATCCAGGAGCCAGGAAACCCAGAGGTCAGAGTGGGACCATCCAGTTTGCAACTCCGTGGAACCATAAAGGACACACTCAGGGGGCAGACTCAGTGAGCACCAAAGCCCCATTGAGGCAAGTCTTGCCCCAGAGGGGTGTCTCCAGCACAGAAGTTCTCCCACTGCAGACACAGCTGAT